CGTCGCACTTTGAAGGGGCGGCGGCGACGTGCGATGCGCGGACGCGGCGCGCGAGGCTGCCCACACGGGACAGGGCCTGCATGGCGCGAGGATGTGCGCCACACTGCGCTGGATCAAGAAATTTTTTTTGGCCGAGAATCTAAAAGAACTCTCTCTCACAGCAGACAGGCTCGCCGAGAAATGCCGCAAAAAGAACACACTCTCCTTAAAATCCCTGTGTGGTGGCGGCGTGCCGTCCTCCCATCCCTCCCTTGGGTTGTCTGTTTTCTTTCTTTCTTTCTTTAAAAAAATCTTTTTTGTCCCGTGCCCAGGGTTCCGGCTCCTACCCAGACTATATAAAATGAACTCGGGGGCACGGGACGCGGCACAAACGGGGCACAAACGCCAGGCTACAAAGACGGGGAGGCACGTAGTGACGCAGGGGAGTCTCCTACCGCTACCCAGATAGGGGGTAGTCTGTTGCCTACGGTTAGATCCCATGCAATAGGTAGGTAGGTCCGGTTTTGACCGCCCCAGAGGGCCCCGCAATAGGTAGGTAGGTGGTGGTGGTGGGCGCGCGGGGGGGGGGGGGGGGGTGCGGCCGCGTGAGAAGCAGGACGCTGTCCACCGCACCGCCACGGTACCTGAACCCACACGGAGCCCGCACACCGGGTTCGGTACTCTGGAGGTGTGGTACTGGGCGGCCCACCGGCGAGCAGTCTGAGGGCTGCGGGCAAGGTGTGCCGTGGCAGAGCGTCCAGGGACTGCACGGGCAGGTCGCGCAGCGGCTGGGCATGCATGCAGGCAGGGGTGTCTAGCGGCGGCGGCGGTGCAGCAGCGGCTGGGCATGCATGCATGCAGGGGTGTCTAGCGGCGGCGGCGGTGCAGCAGCGGCTGCTGGGCATGCATGCGGGCGGGGGTGTCTCGGAAGCGGGGGTGTCTCGGAAGCGGCGGCGGCGGCGGTGCGCGGTGCTGTGAGACAGTCCGCGCCGTGGGCGTCCTCGCCGGGCATACACATGCGTGTGTGTGCGCAATCAGACGGGACGATGCGGCCACCCCCGGACCCGCTTTCTCTGTTGTGCCGCTGCTGTTGCTGCTGCTGCCCCCACCGCTGCTGCTGCTGCTGCTGCTCCTGCTGCGACTTCTGCTGCCGCTACTGCTGCTGCTGCCCCCACCGCTGCTGCCGCTACTCCTGCTGCTGCCCCCACCGCTTTCTCTGTTCTGCCGCTCTTCTGAGGCCGCACCTCGACCCGCGCGCCCTGGCAGCGGCCGAGCGCCGCAAACTCGTCCAGGGTGATGCCCTCGGCGGTGATGGCGTGGAGCGGCTTGCAGCAGCTCGCGGCGAGGGTGTGCTCGTCGTACCACCGCCACCCGCCCTTCCACGTCGTGTTCGGGTCGATGCGCAGCGCGTTGAGCACCATGGCGAGACACGACGGCCCGCAGAACGCCGGCTCGCCCTGCGTGATGAACTGCTCCGAGAGGGGGAAGTAGCCCTCGGCGGTGCCGCCGCCCACCGCCTCGAGGAAGCGCCGCTTCCCCTCCCGCGACGAGAAGGAGACCAGCCGCTCGGGCAGCTCGCGCTGGTAGAACGAGCGGCGCGCCAGCGGGTCGACGGCGTCGGAAGGCCCCTGCCCGACGTCGCTGCGCCGCTGCGCGCAGCCGTCGCACTTTGAAGGGGCGGCGGCGACGTGCGATGCGCGGACGCGGCGCGCGAGGCTGCCCACACGGGACAGGGCCTGCATGGCGCGAGGATGTGCGCCACACTGCGCTGGATCAAGAAATTTTTTTTGGCCGAGAATCTAAAAGAACTCTCTCTCACAGCAGACAGGCTCGCCGAGAAATGCCGCAAAAAGAACACACTCTCCTTAAAATCCCTGTGTGGTGGCGGCGTGCCGTCCTCCCATCCCTCCCTTGGGTTGTCTGTTTTCTTTCTTTCTTTCTTTAAAAAAATCTTTTTTGTCCCGTGCCCAGGGTTCCGGCTCCTACCCAGACTATATAAAATGAACTCGGGGGCACGGGACGCGGCACAAACGGGGCACAAACGCCAGGCTACAAAGACGGGGAGGCACGTAGTGACGCAGGGGAGTCTCCTACCGCTACCCAGATAGGGGGTAGTCTGTTGCCTACGGTTAGATCCCATGCAATAGGTAGGTAGGTCCGGTTTTGACCGCCCCAGAGGGCCCCGCAATAGGTAGGTAGGTGGTGGTGGTGGGCGCGCGGGGGGGGGGGGGGGACCGCTTCGCTCGCGCGGGAGACGCGCTAGCCGCGAACGGGGCCATGCCAGGCGAGTCGCCTGCGGCTGGGACGCCAGCCGAGACGGGTGCGGCGGCGGCGCCCGCGGACCATTGGGTTTGTGTATTATTAATTAAGGTCACCTTAACAACGAAGGCGCTGCGTGCACCTCGACCCTGTACCGTGTTTGTTATGACCCCCCCAATGAACAGCCTGAGGGAGGGCGAGACGATCGAGGGGTCCCGTACCACGCGGAATCGACCCTATCCAGTGCTCAAGTGCTCGAAGGCGCTCTCAAAAAAAGAAAAATCGACGAGACGTCTCCTGACCTCACGCTGCTGCACGCTGTGCACGTCTCCTGCTCAAAGTGATCGCCTTCTGAGCATGGGCTGCTTCTCCAGCCGCGTCGAGACCCCGACCGAGGAGCTGCCCGGCCCTAGAGAGAGACTCCGCACCGGACACCGCCCGGGCACAGACCCCCTACCCGTCGGACAATGCCTGGACCCCTCACAGAGCAGCCCACGCAGGTCACGCATCGGCAGATTTGACACCTGGTTCAGGCGTAGACAGCACACACTGGTCACAGTTGCATAGCCCTGCCGGGGGGGACGAGTTCGCAAGGTTAATATTAAAGAATACAAAGTGGTGACAACCACTGAGTTCTCAGTGGACGACGAGCGTCGACTGAACAGAAGAGCGTCCCCGCGACGCCTCGGTGCCTCCCACCGGGTGTGACTCTCTCTCTCTCTCTCTCTCTCTCTCTCTCTCTGCGTTGGAAAATTCTTTTCTATTCTTTTCTCGCGATGTCCACCCCGCCGCGCCGCCTCGCCCCCGCCGCCACCGCCGCTCCCTCGTCAGACACGCCGCCGCCCATCCGCCTCCTCGACCTCCCCACGGAGCTCCTCGCGCGCGCCCTCTCTCGCTGCAACAGCCCCGCCGACATCGCTCGCGTCGCGGCCGTCTCGCTTCTCTTCCACGCCTCGCTTGCGGTGGAGGCCATCCGCTTGTGGGCGCAAGAGCGCGGCTTCGAGCTGCCAGCGCAGCCAGAGGGCGAGGGCTGCGCCGTGCGGTGGCTGTGCTTCGCTGCGCTGCTGTGCGAGTCCAACCCGCCGGCGAGGGCGGCCGCAAGCTCCACCCACAGCCTCTTCATCGACGGCGAGGGGCGGCTCTCGTCGTGCGGCTCGGCGCCGTCCTACCACCCATCCGCCTACCAAGCGCTGCTGCTGGGCCACGGCGAGGGGGTGACGCGGCTTAACACGCCGACCCGCCTCCCTTCGCCGCTGGGCGGCGAGCGCGCCGTGAGCGTGGCTGCTGGAGCTTTCCACGGCCTTGCCCTTACCGCCGATGGAGCTGTCTGGAGCTGGGGCCATGGAAGCGTCGGTACATTGGGCCACGGCGACGACCAGCAGAACCAGCTGCTGCCCAAGAAGGTCGAGGCCTTTGCTGGGCGGCGCGTCGTCGCTGTGGCGGCTGCAACAAACCACAACCTCGCCATCACCGCCGATGGCGCTGTGTTGAGCTGGGGCTTTGGACACTTTGGCCGGTTGGGCCACGGCGACGAGCAGGACCAGCTGCTGCCCAAAAGGGTCGAGGCTTTTGCTGGACGGCGCGTTGTCGCTGTTTCGGCTGGAGGCAACTACAGCCTCGCCCTCACTGCCGACGGAGCTGTCTGGAGCTGGGGCGAGGGATGCGATGGCCGGTTGGGCCACGGCGACCAGCAGCACCAGCGGCAGCCAAAGAAGGTCGAGGCCTTGGCTGATCAGCGCGTCATCGCTGTGTCAGCTGGGTTGATGCACAGCCTCGCCCTCACCGCCGACGGTGCTGTGTGGAGCTGGGGCGCAAGATACTTTGGCCGGCTGGGCCACGGCGACGAGCAGCACCAGCTGCTGCCCAAGAAGATCGAGGCCTTGGCTGACCAGCGCGTCATCGCTGTGTCGGCTGGAGGCAACCACAGCCTCGCCACCACTGCCGACGGCGGCGTCTGGAGCTGGGGCTTTGGAGTTGGGGGCACGCTGGGCCACGGCGACGGGGAGGACGTGTCGCAGCCCAAGAAGATCGAGGCCTTTTCTGGGCGGCGCGTCGTCGCTGTGTCGGCTGGAGCCCGCCACAGCCTCGCCCTCACCGGCGACGGCGCCGTCTTTACCTGGGGCAAGGGTGAACGCGGCTGCTTAGGCCACGGAGAGGACCTGTCGAACCAGCTGCTGCCGAAGAAGGTCGAGGCGTGGCCACCTAGCACGCCCGCATCCGCTTGACTACAAATTTGGGCGTCCAGAGAAGGCCAGGCCCAAGAGGGGGGCGGCTTCAAGGTTAGGCTGGTACGTCGAGGCGTGGGCGAGCGAGCTGCCCCCTGGGGCGACCATGTGAGCTCGGAGGTGTGGAGCGACAATGAGGAGTGAGCGGCGGCTGTGGCGCAGGGGCGGACAACATTGGCGCGAGGATGTGCGGTACTTGGTCTGCGGGACAGGGTCTGCATGGCGCGGATATGCGGGGACTTGCGCTGCGGAAAAGATTTTTTTGTGCGCCACCCTGGGCCAATGGCCCACGAGAGGATTATGCGGGGAGAGGCGGGGAGAGAGACCCCGGGCGCGCCGCCACAAGGAGCGAACTCAGGGGCTGCCTCGTCTGTAAGGCCGCGAGGGACGCGGCGAGGAGGGCGGCACTAAAGCGAGACCCGCTGTGTCCGATCGTGCAGAAAGCCGCGCAGCAATGGACCGAGGAAGATGAGAACCCGCCTAGAGCGACGATGGCGCACTTGCTTAGCGGCGCCTGCCTGGGGAATAGGGAGCAGGCCATATGGTTCCTCAGAGTAGCGCGAGCGCAGACGGGGACGGCGATCAGCAAAGTAGCACAGGCGGCACCTGACTCCAAGGATACGCTGAAGATGCTGAGGATAGCGCATGTCGCTGCGCTGAAGGGCTCACGCTATAGGGTGCTGGATGACGGGTACGATGCACTAGCCCCAGCCGTCGGGGGGGTGTTGCCGGCGCTGGTAGATGATCTCTCGGAGAAGAGCCGGAGGGACCTTGGCGCCGGGGTCACGAGGAACTTGCAAGTCGTGGCCGAGGCGGCGACGGGCGCGGGCGGCGCTTCGTCGCTGTCTCGGCAGCGAGCAGCCACAGCCTCGCCCTCGCCGCCGACGGAGCTGTCTGGAGCTGGGGCGGTGGAGGCCTTGGCCGTTTGGGCCACGGCGACGCGCAGGGCCAGCTGCTGCCCAAGAAGGTCGAGGCCTTGGCTGGGCATCACGTTATCGCCGTGCTGGCGGGAGAGAACCACAGCCTCGCCCTCACCGCCTGTGCCGTCTTTACCTGGGGCAAAGGCGAGCGCGGCTGCCTTGGCCACGGAGAGGACCTGTCGAAGCAGCTGCTGCCCAAGAAGATCGAGGTGTGGGCGCCGGGGCAGTGAGCAGGAGGGTGTGGGTGCGGGCGGCGAGGAGCTTAGGGCCCGTCTGGTGCTCACGAGCTGCGCCGCCGGCGCGGCGAGCAATGCGCGTTTGCACATGTCTTTTGACGTGCATAGAGTGCACAGCCACAGCGCGCTGCGCGTATGACCCGCCTGAGGGGGCGATTGGGGCTTGCGTTTGCACCGTTTGCGTTCGTCCACAATTCCATAACAACAACTACAAGTAGAGGCGCCAGGGGCACTTTTGTGGAAGATGGAAAGACGTATTGTTCTCACCGAGGCGGCTGACTGATTGCCCCGGCCGACTCGGCGCACATCAAGAAGACGAAGACACGCAACACAGGTCACACTCGCAGCCATGCATATGGCGCCTCCACCTCCACCGCGGCCTCTACCACGCCATCTTCCTCCTGCTCCTCCTCGCCCTCAGCGACCACCACCGCAGCATCCACCTCCATAGCCTCCGCTCCCGACTCCACCTGCGCCCCCTCCTCATCACTCACCTCGAACGCCTCCACCTCGACCGCCTCCGCCTCCTCCATCTCCTCCGCCTCCATCTCCTCCATCTCCGCCTCCGCCTCCGCATGCAGCTCGGCCCACCGCTCGCGGCACTCGGCGCCGGTGCGTCCAGGCAAGTGCGACGCCACGATGCCCCATTGGCAGGACGCGACGCGCGCTCGCAGCCCGGCCAACTTCTTTGCTAGACTCGGCACCAGCAGCCGCAAGCGCGCGTCGCCCCCTCGCTCGCCACCCCAAGGGAGCGGTGCCGCTGTCTCGTCCGCCACTGAGCAAGCAAGGACGGCCGACGCCGCATCGACGTCCTCGCCGCCCTGCGATGCGCGCGCCGCGCTCTGCAGCCGCGCCAAACCGTCAACCACAGCCTGTCCACAACCACACGCGGTGAAGGGGCGCACAAATCAGCGTGTGCCGGCAACCGGCGACTACTGCCTCGCACGTGGCCGGAGGCGGCGGAGGCTGGCGCCGAACGGCACGCCACGCGCCGTCTTCGCGCGGCTCACCCATCCCCGTCTCCGCGCCCCAATACGCGGTGCTGCCGCTGCCTGCGCGAGAGCTTCCTCCCTCGTAGTCGATCCTGATCTCGCCTCCGGCGGAGATGGGCTCGGACGCGACGAGGACCATGTGCTGGCGCACCTCGCACCTATAGAGAATTGCGACTCGCTGTGGCGCGTCCCTTGCCCCACCACCTCGTGTGTGTGGAGAAGTTTACCTTACCTTACCTTAGCACGCGCCTCTGTGCGTGGCACCGCGGCATGGGTCCATGTGGAGAGTCTTTGAGTAGTGCGCGTTGCGGTTGCTCTCTAGATGTTGATTTGGATTTGATTGTGTATAAGAAGCCCGCACGGAGGGGGGGGGGGGGTCCTCGAGGGTTTCGTTCAGTCAGCCCGGACGCCGGAGAGCCCGCTGCGCGCTGCCCCGCGGCGCGCTCGCGCGGTCGCGCGGTGTCTACCCTCCTGCTCATGGTCTCCGCCCCCCACCTCTCCCTCATTCTCTCTGCCCAGTCTTCTCTTTTATCGACACTGGATCTCCGAAACAAGGGCCTCAAAAGCAAGCCGCTGGAGTCAAATCTCGCCGTATCCACTCGGCGTGCAATTGTGACCTGCCATACAGCAAGGACATCACGCGGCCGGGCTGGACTTCTCGGCAATGTTCTTGAGCTCGCAGAGGTTGTTAATCACGGACATCATTGCCAGCTCGACCAAACGATCTTGGAACAGGTTGTCAGTCATGAAGATAAAGTTGTCGGTCATCCCCAGCTTCTTGCAGGCCTCCAGGTAGAAGCTGATGTTCTCTCTCTGGACGGCCGGCTGGGTTGTTGACCGAGGCAACTTGCAGACGCCTGTCTTGATCTTGTTGGCGAGCTGGCATAGGACGACGCCCGACTGCAACACCTTCTGGAGCTCAAGGGCTCCCAGACCGTCCTCCAGCTTTACACCGACCTTCTCGATCCACGTGCGCACTTCCTGTTCTTTAGCGAAGTCGTACTTCTTCTTGGCCTACAAGCGTGATCGGCAGAGGCTCAACAGAGCGGTCGTCGTGAGATAGGGCTACGTGGCAACCGCACGTTGTCCGCGATGTCTTTATCCAGACCGAAATTCCCGTCCTCGGTCGGCTGAACGTAAACCCCGTGGTTGACCTACGAGTGCAAGGACGTAACTAGCACAGCCAACTGGGTTCGCGTCCCACCGCTGCCATCATACCTGCTTGTCCTGGGCGGCTTTGGGGGTGTAATCCGTCATCTCGACGGCGGCTGTCGATGGTGTCTGCAAATGGGACGTGCGCGGCGGCCTTTTTGTTTGTTTCTCTTTTCTCAGTGCGCGCCAGTCCCGTGCCCAGTCACTTCCTGTCGTCTGTTGTGTCGTTGTGCCCTTGTTTGTTTCTCTTGGCACCGTGGAGTGCTGGGGGGGGCGACAGGGAGGATATGGCCTTGAGTTATGTGTACGCCAACTCAGGAGGGCCCCCTCGGAGCAGCCCACACACAATCACGCATCGGCAGAATTAGTGCCTGAGTCAGGCAGACAGCACAGACAAGGAGAGGAGAGAGAGGAGAGAGAGAGAGAGGAGAGGGGAGAGGGTGAGGGTGTGTGCACACGTGTGGAGAGCTCTCTCTCTCTCTCGTTAGATTACCTAAGGCCGAAAAGGCCGTCAAGGCGTCGCGTCTCTCTTATTATACCAAAAGGAGGGCTACACGACGCCCTCTACGTGTCTCTCTTCTCCTCGTACGCAGACGATGAAGCAGCCCTTCCTCCTCGTTCTCACGCTCGCGGCGACCCACGGCGAGTCGGAGGACGCAGCCTCGAGCAAGTCCTGCCCCTGCAGCCCTCTGTCGGGGATTCGCTGCCTCTTCTGCACGGCGATCCACTTGCGCCTCGACTGCATCGGCGAGTGCTTTTCGCCTCCTCCTCCTTCTCCTTCGCCTCCTCCTTCGCCTCCTCCTTCGCCTCCTCCGCCGCCTCCTCCTTCGCCTCCTCCGCCGCCTCCTCCATCGCCTCCTCCATCGCCTCCTCCATCGCCTCCTCCATCGCCTCCTCCATCGCCTCCTCCATCGCCTCCTCCTCTTCAGACACCGTGCAGCATCATCCAAGACGAATTTTTTCTACCCGACGACGTTAACTACACGTGCGGCAATGGCTCGACCAAGACGAAGATCTTCTATCCAGCGGGGCCGCTGCCCACTACCACAAAGTACCCGGTGGTCATGTTTCACCGTGGCACCAACGGCTACAGGCACAAACCACCCGATGTGAATGGGACAGGGTATGACGCGTGGCTAGCGACCGTTGCGATGGAATGCCTTATCGTCATTGCGCCCGAAACCGACGGAGGGTACAAGCCAAACGACAAAAAAGCCAAAAAATACTGCCTGAGGGACAAAGACCTGCTCATCAGCGCTCGGTGAAAAATGCTGGCGCGGGCAGCTCGCCCGGCGGCGCGGCGAGCCGCGCTTGGGCCGTTGCGGCGTGTTGCGGGATCGCAGAGGGCCATGGCTGCGGGCTTCACCCCTCCCAAATACCACACCGACTTTGCACCGGACCTCGTCGTGGAGGGCATCCCCGACGACCCGCTCTCGCAGCCAAAGGTGGCGACGCCCTCACTGCCCGCGCACGCGCCTGGTCGTCGTTGTCTCTGCGCAGCCCGCGCGCTCGGCCGTCGCCGCCGCGTCCGCCCGGCGCGCGCACACGCCTCCCTGCGCGCGCGCCACAGGTGTACGAGAAGGAGATTTGGGACAACCCCGACATGCTGGTGCGCACCCGCCCGCCGAGCCCACACCCCCCACATCCCCCACACCACCACCAACACCACCCCACACACATCTCCCCCCGCCCGCCCGCTTCCGGGACCTGCGTGGCAGTCGCAGCTGTACCAAACGCTTCGCCGCCACTCTGTTCCCCCATCCCAAACCCGCAACCACCGCTCTGCTCCCCTCCCCCCATCCGCCGCCGGCGCCCGCTGCCGCCTCCCGCGCGAGTCTCCGCATGCTCCGCGCCCGCCGCGCCCGCCGCTCCCCTATCTCAGCAGCCTAACCTGCCGCCCTCGCCGCCTCCCCGCTGCCGCCCTCGCCGCCGCCCTCGCCCTCGCCCGCCC